GGGAACAGACCAAGATCTACTCAGCGCAGAGATGGCGCTTGATCCGCTGGAAGACAAGACACCTCCCAACATGTCGTCTGCTGTTGGCGATATCGTTATCGTGGATGGGTAGTCATCAGTGTAGGAGGATTGAAAGGTGCCATTCATCTTCTGCTCTTTGATCTTGCTTTTCGGTGCTGAGTAGTCATGACCGCCAAGACAGAGGGTCGAGGGAGTATCGGGCGGGAGGGGGGGGGGGGGGGCATTCCAACGAGCGTACATAGTGCCTAGGTGCTTGCAAAATACTGGTGGAATACTGCCAGTATTTTAGTACAGCTTTCGATACTGGAATAAAAATACTGCACGCTTCAGTACAGCTTTCAATACTGGAATAAAAATACTGCACTCTTCAGTACAGCTCTCGATACTGGAATATACTGTACTGGCAGCACGGCGCTCGGTACTGTACTGTACTGGACGTTTTAGTACAGCTTTCAATACTGGAATAAAAATACTGCAATCTCCAGTACAGCTCTCGATACTGGAATATACTGTACTGGCAGCACGGCTCTCGGTACTGTACTGTACTGGACGTTTTAGTACGCAGTTAAATACTGGAATAAAAATACTGTACTGTACTAAACCTGCCCGTGATTCAAACATCAAGGTGATGGGGGCGCTTGCGATAGAAATTGCACACTACTGAAGATCTACAACACCGATAATAGGGTACGTTCTAGGATGAGACGTCCTCATCAGGTACGGTGTTCGAGGAGCTCCCCCCCCCCACGGCCAAAAGTCGTACCAATGATCGCATACGAACGAAAAAAATCGAAACTAATCTACAGCAAGGTAGTAGCCTTTCCAGGCGTGGCCACCAACATAATGCCAGCAGCGACTAGAAGGCGGAACGACAGGCAACGGCCGTCAATATATCATTCACGAAATTAACACCTTTCCACCGGTCAGCCCCTACGGGCGGTCGATGCCAATCAAATACAAGAGGTTCCGGAAATTGAAGTAGGGAGAGATCGCACGAAAGAACAGGTAACAATATCAGACCCCCCCAGAGTTATCACGCTTCATGGCCTGTTGTTTATCTTGACACACGCACGACTCGCTAACTTGTGCACTCACTACCGGCATCACAGCAGTCGAATGCCGAAGGAGACAAGAGTGTGCCAACCTGACCTACTCCATGTTGGCCCGACGTCCTATAACAGGCAAACGGCAACCGCGCAAAGTGTCAACCAAACAACCGCGTACATGCCAAACCGAAGACAGTTAGCCCCGAAACAACCCGCCCGTCGGCTACACATGTCAACCTCGCACACATACAAATGCAAACACACGTTCTCTTGAGCGTCATCACCCCGTCCATCTCTACATTCGTTCATCGCCATCAGTAACGTCTGGCATTACCACGCCGGCGGGGATACGACCCTTCTCAATGTATGGGGCTGCTTGGAACCAGACGTTCGACTTCTCCCCTTCCCGCAGACACGGACATCACCAGGGAAGACACAATCACAAGTCACCTGCAATGATAGTCAGAAACAGACACAAAATAAACCACCAACCGCTTGCCACAAACGCGCGCGTGCGTGCGTGTGCAGGTAGCACCACAAGTCACTGTTATCCCGAGTATGCTGTGCGCCGACGGCTGTCGTACATTCTTCGGACAGAAAAACTCACTGAACACTCGAAAAGCCACTCACGCCCGATATTCGTAACACCTGGAGGGAATAAGCTACCCACAAAACACGCACAAGACACCGGGAATTCGAAAACTTTAACGAACCAATATTGGTTTTGCACCGCCCCCATCGCATACTACCATGCTCTTTATTACTTGCAGCGTTAAAGGAGAACAACCGCGCGCTTTATCACCGGGAGACAGAGCGGGGAGGAGGCGTCGGACAAGCTCGCCCCGCCCGCCCGCACTCTTTACGCCGGAACCAAAAAAACTTCGATGCACGCTGGCCGAACAGGACGGGCAAGCACCGACAAGACAAGCGAGTTGTCGACGCCAACGAAGGGTGTTGCGATTATCTCACGGGCGCCAAACTCGAAAGGTAACGCGAACGCATATCGCGTACCGCACATGCAAGACATCTGCTTAAGGCACGTATCACTTCGATGTCCAACAAGGGACAACTATCCGACCTTCGGGTCTCACACATGAAAAATAAAACACTCAAGAGGAAGAACAAAAGTAAGCACTTTCGCTCTACACAAGTCTCACGTACTACTCTCCCGCTTTTGCCGCTGGTACGAGGAGTGCAAAACATCAGCAGAGCACGCAGGCAACGGAACATGGCGCGGGGGGGCGGAGCGTGGGGAGCATCACCTCTAACTTTTGCTCCCAGATACTGAAACTTCAATGAATCAACCACACAAATCGTATGCGCCGGCACGCCAAAGACAGGTTCTCTAAGCACTTGCTGCAGGAAGAAAATGCTGACCAAAACCAACGGTCAAGCGTACGTCACATACCTCCCGTGGCTTCTGCTTCGCTGAAACAAATGACAACTCCACATGGTCCTTCGGTGAGGGTGGAACAAACAATCTGTGCACGGCCAAAACTTGTGCGACCACCCCGTTTTGAAAAGGCCGCATGCCCGGACACGAGATGCTCGCTGCCACCACCGACAAAAAAAAACAACAACTCAACAAGTAGCCTGCCCTTTATGATACGTGTTCAAATATATACACCTACATCAATATCCTAAGGGTTCCCAATAGTCTTGTCCTTCGTGCGGGTACCGCAGGCCAACACAAAACAACGCACCTTAAAACGGCACACGGACACGCAAGTACTCGCGAGGGAACCCAAACGTTGCTGCTGACCGTTCTGGTCGAAGGCAAGGCATAATAAAAAAGAACGAGAAAGCCCGCAAGCACGCTGGGCGCGCGGGAGGGCAACAAGTCTGGGGGGAGCGGGGTAGGGGTGCCGAAAGCTCTTCTATGACCCACCCCGCTCTGTGCCGAAGCACGACGCGCCCTGTCTATCTGGAACGAAATGACTACATATTATACAGTGTTACCTAATCGAAAAAAAATAAATACTGGGAACCGAACATGAAAGTAAACCACCTTTGATCTCGATGCCGCTGCATCGTTGTCCCTTCCCGCAAACAAACCGGTGGACATGCCCGTGGCATCAATTAAACTGCTCTCGGAGAGTTAGAGCATACAGAGCCCATGCAACCGAAGGCGACCATGACGTCATCTTCTTCTTGGTACCCGTGTGCACTCCCCGCGGAAAACAGCACGTCTCCCGTCCTTCCCATCCTCCAGTCCCATTCAATTTACGTCTGCCTGTCAACCCGCCACACAAAGCCACCGCAGGGTCTCAAGACGATCGAGACTCTTCGCCGCCAGAGGAGGGGACGGCACTGGGTCGGCACAGGAGGGCGAGAAACGGGCTCTATTCTATGCCGTTCACTCCTCTACCCCCTGCCTCTTTGTCCCTCGTGCAAACGCCGAGCCGTCCCCGGGCCAGGCAGGCGCACGCCGCGGCAACACGATCACCACTCGCCCGCCAGCCGAAAGCAAAGCACTTTTTCTCTCTCAACCTGCTCTGTCTCCGCCAGCTCACTCTCGACGCAGCGAAAGGAGGCGTGGGCGTTCGCAACGGGGATCGGGGACACCTACTTGTTCGTTTTTGGTTCCTCCCCATCTCTCTCTCCTCCGTGTCTCTTCCTCCTTGTGTTTTCCGCTCCCTTCTTCTATCCGGGGCACGGGTTGGCATGTGATCGTCCGGCCCCGTGTACCGTCCTCGCCCATCCCACGTTTCTTGTCGTCTCCCAAATTTCTGTCGTGGGGCGGACCCCTAAGAGGTCAAACCTCCGCGGTGGCGGGCTTCTTCAGGTCCAAGAAGGAGAGCAGCGCATCCTTGCTGCCGGCTTCGAAGAAATATTGCTTCAGAAACTCCTCGAGGAACCTTGCCTGGAGGTCAGACACAGAAACAGCAGAGAGGATAACAAGCACACAAGGGGCGACGGCATCAGCAGAGTTGCCTTCGAGGGGCGGGGAGTGCGTGGATGCCTTACATGTGAGGAGTGGTTGAGAGCTTAAGTGGTGTCAAAGGTCTGGGTACCTGGGGGGAATAAAAAGCGACAAGTAGCTTGGCGCGCCAGGGTGCAAAGGCCCGATGCTCTGTGCAGGCAAAAGAGTGCTGGGTCGATCGAGGTTTGATTCATGTCCTGTGCTCAAAAGGCGTCCGTAGGTGAGGGCATCGACCTGCCTATGAAAGAAACACACTTTCTACCAACACCACGGATGAGGACCTACACACCGACGGTACCATTGCCACTTTCAAGAACCGCCAAGTCTCATCGCGGCGAAGCGCATGTACAGAGAAGGTGGTTCACGCGAAACCTGGCTGTCGATGCACCCAAATATGCCCCGCTGTTCTCCCATGCCCTCCCCTGTCAGCGAACACCTAGGGCTAGAAAGCAAACAACTCTACAGAGCGTTCAGGCCCGGCGCTGATAACCAACGTCGATACCAACAACAATCGTGACAACAACGTCATAAAACGACGGCGTGAATCAACACCCAATAACGACGAGAACAGCAAACTGCACATCAACAAAACGACAACACGGACCGCCGCACTGCTTCTCCTGTGTAGCACACCTTGTTCTGCAAGTACACGGAGTCCAGCCGCCTGGGCCGCAGCACGACCGGCATGTTGCATGGTCCCCCGCCGTCACCTCGCCTCGCGCGCTCCAGAGCCTCCCACGCGACGCACGACTGAATCAAGTTGTTCGAGGAAAGAGCACAGAGGAGCACACACCGCACGGGACGGGGGGACGGGGAAGCGATGGAGAATCAGCGACGAGCACGGAGGCCGCTGGAAAAACTGGCGACATAATTAATGGCAAGAACCTTGGCGCCAGCGGGTGTCACAAATAGCGAGTAAATAGTCTAGTTGTGTCTGCCGCTGGGATATCGTAGCCAACAAAGCCCATGGACATGAAATCCACGCTGTCTTTCTTTGTTGCGCAATCTTGTCTCGAAAGTCTCCATCTCGAGGGCGTTTGGCACTCTGTTTTGCGAACTGTTGTGCAGATGAAGATAGTGTTGGTTTTGGGGAGTACGTTCACTTAGAGTGGGGATAAATACCTGATGGAGACGTGTTACAAGGGCCTGAAGACAACGGGTTTCGACGCTGGCTCTCTTTTCATACTTTAATCCTACACAAAGAAAGAACACAACCTTCAGGTTAGGGTTAGCTTTGGGTTGCTTTTGTCATCAGCTGCTGCTGCAACCCGGCAGTTCAGGAGATTTGGTACAGTAGTAGCGCCGAGCACGGCTGCGACAAATGTTGGATGCCGATGGGTTCCGGCGAAGATTTCGGACTGCTTTCAGAGGCTGCTGCGACTTTCGATATTTCAGCTTCCCAGTATATGTAGCAAACCTGAAAAACGTGCCAGCACGCACGACGCCTCTCAAGAATACACCCAAAGCTAACCCCCGACGTTGACCGTCTTCCGTTTTGGCTCTTTCGACTTACATTTGGAGTTGTCCGTACAATTATCTTGATTTCAGGGCGTGAGAAGATACACGCGTGAAATGTATATTTTGAGCAGCCTCTACTGCCGCACTGAGAGAGAATTAACGATTCCTTCCACGTACTGCTGTTTTTTCGCGATGCCTTCCGACTGGTCGATTGTCTGCTGCTGTGCATTTTTCTGGTGCTCTTGCGTTTGCACCAGAAAAACGCACATCGACATTCTTCTGTCAAGCCCTTTAAAATCGCAAATACAATCTCAAGAGAGAATAACAAACGGTCCACACCACCGCTGTACGCAGAAGTTTGCGCGCGGATCAGTACCAAAGCGCATTCGTGTGCATGGGCACTGCACTGCTGTATCGATATTTGCAGCATTAGTTCCGGAGAAGGAAGAAAAATACATGTAAAAAAAAAAATGAATCGTGAGTGAAGAGGCCGGCCGGGAACATTTCCATGTGCCAGTTCCCGCCTGGGTGCAGAGGTGGCAAAAAACCAGGGTGTAGCAGTACACGTATTAAACCTTTCTGGATAGTTTTTTCCACGAGAAAGTGGGCTGCTGTTACTGATGTACCTCTCTGCCGCCTCGTCGCCCGCAGCAGTGCGTACGGCGGTGTATTTGTATAGGTTGAACTTGAACGATCTGAAATCGAACAGCCGACACGTGACGTCAATAGTTCAACCTCCAGAGGCCAAACTGTTGCCCTCATCGACTGCTGAATGGTGTATGGTGGAGGCCACGATGGAACTTCGGGAACGTTGCCGCCCTGGACTGGTCACCCCTCTGTTCTGACCAGCCAAACCTCGGCGTTCACGTAAAGTCCCACGCCTCCCAGACAGGCAGGGTGTGAGCGCACGGAGACAGCAACAGCAACAACAACATCGTCACAACAGGGGCACCAACAAGAAGGGCGACAGCAGTGTGCTCCTTCGGTTGCCAAACCGTTGGAACAAAAACACACCGCCGACGCCACTCAATTCCTACAATTTTCAAACGGCCAACAAAAACAGCATCACCGCGGCACCCAAAAACACGTGGCCCTCGACATCCCACACACCTTAGGCATCCAGGCCTTGCTCGCGGTGGCCGCTAGCTTCTCGAAGTCCGAGGCCCTCCTCCACCCCGCGACGAGCTTCTCTCTCCCCATACACACCACCACCAGGTACTGGGCGTAAGGGGGCGCGAGCCCAAGCGGAAAGCGCAAGTCCGGTCGGATGACCCGGATCTCCGTCACTGCCCACGAATAGCTCGTCGGTCTGCCAGCCTTCGGAGACTCCCGCTGCCGCTGCTGCTGCTCCTCCTCCTCCTTTAGAATCGCCGCCGCCGCCGCCGCCGCTGCTGCTCTGCCTCTCCCTCTCCCTTGAAGCAAAGGCGAGCCGTTCAGTGGCCTCCCACTCCCCCAGCTGCTGCCGCTGCGCGCTGTTCGGTCCGATCGTCGCTTTTTGTTGGGCGGCGTTGGGGGCTTCTCAGGGAAGTGTCTCGTCGAGATGGGGAAAGATGTCCTCCTGATGTGCATCGTGCACTTGCCCGAGCACGACTCAGCCGATAGCCTCCCGCTGCTTGACACCGTAGGGTAGAGCGGGTGCCAAGAGTTTAGGTGCGTCGTCGTGCTCCGGGCTTTCGTGACGGGGAGCAACCGCACACCGATGCTTCCGGCGCTTGACTCTGCTGCTGCAGCTGCGTTCGCTTCGATCAATCTCTGGCCTGAGGCGCACGCGCCGGAGCGGTCGCCACCCCTCCCCCAACCAATCCCACCCCCAAAACTCACGTTGCTTGATCGTGGCACCAGCGCGAGTTGCTGCTGCTGCTGCTGTTGCTGTGGTTTTCGCATAGAGAAACTACCGCCATCGCCGTTGTTGATGATACTGCTGTGTTCTTTGAACCCATCTGGTGAAGTATCACGTGGGAGGTTTTTTCCTTCGCCACTGTCAGCCCCATGCACCTTGGTGCTGCTGTCGCCGCCGCCGCCGAGCACGATGGACTCGGGCGAGAGAGAGACTGTGACTGTGGACTCGACGTCCGCCCTGTTGCATCGCCAGGGCAGGGAGCTGGGGTAGGCCGACGGGCTCGGAGGCGCGGGGTAGCATCCCTCCTGAGCGGAGTTCTCGGCGGCAGGAAGGGAGCTGGCGGAGGCGGTTGGGGTGTACCAGCCGTAGTCGCACGAAGGGTCGGCGTGGGGCGAGGCCGCCGAGAGGTACTCGGACAGGGTGACGCTGACCTTTGGCGCCCTCTGAAGCTGCGCTACGTCGGCTGGCGCTCCTGCTCCTACGTCAATGCCGCCGCCGGCGTTGAGGTATCCCGCCACAGAATTTGATTTCCATCGCAAGGCGTGCTCGACCACGTAGCCCTCCACAAATGTCGTATCCGGAAGATGGGCGTCCCTCCTGCTGGCGTCGCTGGGCTTGACGTATCGCTCGAGCGCCATCGGGTGAAGGCCTCGCTCGGAGTCCAATTTCAAAAATCAAACGCTGCGCAAGCAGACCGGGTGTGTGCGAGGTGTGGCCGGAAACCATAGAGCGGGATTTGTATTGGCATTGCAGGGGCAGGAAAAAACGGCCCAACTTTAAAGAAATTAAGAAGAGGGCGAAAAAGAACAACAACCAGCTCTTTTTTTTCGGCTGGCCCGACGAAAATAGACTCTGCAGTAAAAACACGGTCCGGCTCAGGCTCGTCCCCCGTCCCGGTGACGGTGATATTTTGTCAGCTCAGCCACGCGTTCTGTCTGGGCGGAAGCGGCTGCAGGCGAGGGCTTTGTTTCTACATGTTGTCAGAGCAAGCGTGCCCGAACAATCACCACATCATGCAAACTTGAACTCGTCATGCAGTCAATGATACTTGTATGAGTAGCCTTCAGATGCCACAGTCAACAGGCGAGACAGATGGTCTTGCAGCAAAATCGAAGGACGTCGAAAAGCGCAAGCTGCTTTGTTGTTGTTGTTGTTGACTTCACATTAAACCGTATGCCAGTTGCTAAATGCCAAAATCTAGCAAAGACTCTCAGCCCGTGGTCACGAAAGTGCTAGAGCCATCTGAGGATCTAAAGAACACGCACACGTAGCAAGAAAAAGGTATCCAAGAGCCCGAAGAGGTACTACTACACCTATATATAATCCCTGCAGCACCGTACGCGTGCCCAAAACTGAACTACACGTCCGTCTCACCGTTCGACTACAG